AAGTCTGAACAATCCTCAGGGATAAAATGAAAAACAGATCAGTGGGCAACAATGCACAGAGTTTGGGCTGATGAACTGACAAGAGAGTCCTAGTCCTTCGTATTCTATCAAATCAAAACCAAACATGGATCAACTCTTCTCCCAAAGCAAATGCTTTGTCCATGGAGCTGCAGTAAATTTATATTTACTAAATATTTAGTTCATTTGCAAAAGAGCTTTTTTGAAAATAAAAATTAAATCAATCTATATACATATACACACACACTTTCTTATTTTTTAAAAGGCTTTCAATCCTATCACATCTTTGGAGCGCATGAGCAGCTTATCTCCCTGGAAAGTATTTCTTGGAAAGCACAACATAATTCACATGTATTTGTCAATTTTGTCAATTTGTTTATCTTTTTCATTTATACTTCTGTAAAAACACTTGAATTCAACATTGTGAAACCAAAGATCACCTCCTCTCACACATCTCATCTCTGCAATATCACACTTCCCTGGTATATGAGATATAAACATAGCATACAGTATTTGCATATCTACGTAAAAAAAAATCTGTGTAAAAAAATCATAAATATTACACAATTTCAACACATTCTACCTTAAAGCTAAAGTGAATTGCAAATTTGCTGAAAGATAATTTCCTTTTGGGAGGATCACAATTCTGTTCTCTAATCAATGTCAGGTAATACTTAGGGAGACTTTTAAAAAAAGAATGAAGAATTGAACTCAAACTTTAGGAGGGAAGTAGGAGAGACTACAATTGCCACAATAAAAGTATGGCCTTCATACCCCGAAAATGTTTTACTACAGAGTTCAGGGGGGAGCCCTACAGAGAACTAGGTTATTTCCAAAATCTTTCAGCTTTAAACCTCACCTATTCTTAAAATGAAATATTCCTGTCAACACTCATAGAATTTCCAAAGCAAAGGACGTCCAAGGGTTTTGGAAAGGATTAAAATCATGATTTGAGAGGCATTCCCCCATCTGATCTTCCATAAAAGTACACACGCAACAGCAACAGAAGGATGCTGAGCACGAGGCCTACTTCATTTGAAATTTTATGATTTTGCTGCATTGTTATTTGAATGCATTTTCCATCAGCTGGAAAGGGTCAGCTCCCCAAAACGCTGTGAGTCTTTGTGGAAGCACTGGAACTCTTCTCACAGTAAATCCAAACACTGGTTCCTTTCTTCTTCTATAAAAAGATTAAGTTATGGGAAAATCTAGAAAGCCATCACAACCTTCCAAAGAGTTTAAACTTGCAGAAAACCAACACATAATCTTATAAATAAATCACTCATTTCAGGAGAATGTTAGCAAAATCTTGAAGGTTTTTGGATCATAAATACAAAACAAATTCCAGCTACTAACTCCTGCTGTCTCAGTATGGCTCACAAGAGCCCAATGGACTTCCCACGGCGGGGAAAGGCCACTTAAGGGAAGCCATTATCTACATACTAGAGTAACCCACAGACACTAAGCATGCAGAACATACCAGCTGCCACATGAAACACACCACCATTGGTCTATTTTGCCAAATCAAACATACTTTTTCTGCTGACTGTATTTACATGTTCCAATGAGCTTTAGTGAACTAAACATAAATTGTAAGAATCATACACATGTACTCCTTTACATATTATGTCATACTTGTATCAGAAATACATGCAAAGACATTAAAAATCCTCCAAACTCTAGAAACTGATGACAGGAAATTGCACAACAGCCTATTTAAGTATCCCACACTATCACCATCTTCTGTGTTGCATATTTTTAGTATAGCTTTATCAACAATACAACTGGAAAAAATACTGCAAGTAGCATTAATTCTTGAAAGAAATAGTATTCTCTCCAGCACTTTCAGCTGGTTAAAAGCAAAAGTATCTCAAGGCAAAATGTACTCTTGAATGAATGTGAAGAAATATGACCAACAAAGTATAGTGCAAATTATGAAAAACATTTGTAACCTTTGCATTGGATATACTTCAGATAGAAAGGCTTTCAGGGCAGATTAAAAATGGAAGTTACATAGAAGTCTAGGGGAAATCAGGACCTAAATCCTTTAAGTTTTAGTGGGGGAGCTATGCCCCTCAAATATTGAGCCATCTAAAAAAAAAAAAAAAAAAAACACTTTAAGCTGTAATGCAAAACATTGAGAGAAGACTCACATAGCTGCCTAATCACAATAAACAATAATTTTTTTTCATTAAAAAAATTCAGAAGTTATTTACATTCCAGAGGTCCTGCCAGATACAAGTGGATTACCTCTTGTTACACATGGCTTCTATCAACTGAGCAAAAGATGGGGGCATTCACTTGAAATCCTTTGATTTCACTGCCAGATGAAATACTATGAAGATCAAGCACCACCGCAAGAAAACAGAGGATGTCAACAGTGAATGAAAAATATTTTGACCTCCAATTTTGAGATGTGTATAATAAAAACTAACATAAGCCACTTAAGTATTCTTCTACTTTGTCATGCTGCCTCTTTCAAAATCAATGGCCCAATCTGAAAAGAAAAAGGCATAGACTTTCACAATCAAAATGTGATTCTTGATAGCTAAAAAGTTGTATTTTTAAAAATAATTATATGGAGTTTCTCCTTCTCATTCATTATTTAAAATGAGAGAAATTACTTCTCACTCTTATTAGATATTGTGTCTAAGCCCAGATATTAACTTAATTTTGACAAACAGAAACAGTGAAATAATTTCAGAAAATACAGAAAAAAAATCCCCCTAAAACGAATCTTTAGAGTCTATTAGATTTTGATTTTCCAGTTATATCATCCAAGTAACTGTAACATACCAGCTATGTCACTTTAGAGCTATTTAAACAATAGTCATCCTTAATTCTATATTGAATAGAGGTGATAATAAATGATGAGTCGAAAGTAGAAAGTTGCAAGATTGAGCCTATGGCTTCAACTGTTGAGCAGTATGTAGAGTTTGAAAAAAAATCAATAAAAAGAGAGGATAGAATGCTGTATGTCAGAATGCTTCACTCCAGAGGAAGAAACACTGGGAGTAACAATATCCACTTTTGGATATTAACCTCATGAGAGGTACCAGAGTACAAAAGAAGTTAGAAACTTACCAAAAGAACTAAAAAGGAAAAAAATCCATAATATGTATAAAAGATTCTGTCTTTATAAACTCTAAAGTGAATGATCCATTCCCCTTTGTAAAGGCAACATAGAAGATACTGCTACTCTATAAATCAATATTAATACTGCTACTATACAAATCAATATTAAAAGTATTTTTTCTATACAGTATCAAATATTCCAATTTATATTATACCATTGATAGAACAAGAGCGTATATAATTGTATGCTTTATTCTAATACTATACATATCCTCTATACCAAATGTGGCTGTTGAAACTAAAATGAGGTTAGTCTCAGCTCCATATATTCCCTTATCCTAGAAGAATAATCATTTTTTTTTTCCTTTTTGTGATACTTTTTTTTCAGCACAAACCTCATAGCTTTTTATCTGCAAAAGCTTAACCATTCAAATGTTAGATTAAAATTTCTAAATGCTTGTCACAACATTTTTCATTCAGTAAGAATCTGATCTTTTTTTGTCAGGTAAATGCAATGGAGATGTGGCAAGAAAATCAGAACAATACTTAGATGATAGAAATTTTTGAAGTTGACAGGGCAACTTCACTATACAAGAACCTTCATGATTTATAGGAAAAACTAGCTAGCATAAAAAATGAAAGCTTACTGAGGTGCTTAGTCAAATTTGCACACATTTTGATATTCAAAATAATAGTATTTTAAAAACCTTTTATACTATGTTGATATTATGACTTCTCTTTATGGGAAAGTATATCAGTTATCATCATCAGTACATCAGTACATCTAAGTAATCATATGATACAGTAATATTTATCAAGAATTGTAGAGGGATAAATAGTCTTCACTCTATTCTGCCTAGATCTATCAATTTGTGTATCCTAGTTGAAAAGTTAGCTTCTCATCTGTTAAGTTCCATACATGTACAGTATATTTGATATCAAACTTAGCTGGAGAACGTAATGGAATATTATCCTAATTTGCGCAAAGGAGCTGACATGAGATACTGGGCCTAAAACTGTAAGTGGAAGCCTATGGGGAATGAAGAAACACACTTGTAACAAATGATTGTTGCATTAATAATGGGAATCGTGGATCATATGCTGTCAGCTTAATTGCTTGCCAGAACACATATGATTAATTCCACATACTGACTTTCACTACTCTTAAGAAAGCTTAAACTTTAGAAAAAGAATAGTTGCTTTTTATATTAAAACTTCACTCCTTTCAATTACTAAGCTTCCTTAGAAAGAAGTTTATTTTGATTTTAATGGTTCATCTATCCTAAATACAATTACCAGGGACTAATATGCAACTCTTGACACTCAAGGTATCATGCATGGTTTCACTTTCATACATACAATATTTGTCTCATCTTAACTTTTAAAGTTTAAAAATGTGTATATAAATTAAGATAGATAAACCAATGTACATATGTAGGAATTTTAACTGCTTTTGTTTTTGAAAAAGAAGTGCTCTACATATTCCAGTAAGTTTAGAAAGTGATAGGTTTGCTAGCTTCCAGCAAGCAATGATGATCCTAAACATACAAGGACACAACAGTTCCAGATCCCTGAATTCAGTCTACTCAAACTTTCTATTATACAAAAACAAGACTTTTTTATTAATAGAGCATCAGTTTGCAGAAAACACTCAAACATAACACAAGCCTCAGTTATTAGCCTAACTTGGTACTATGTCCAGTGATACTCAGACTAGCAGAGTTAAGTGTTTTAATTATAAGAATTAAAAACAAAGCACTTTCAGAAGAAAAAAAAAAAGACAAATTTAGCTGTTAGAATAAAAAATGTTTTATAAAAACACAATTTTCTACACATTTCTTTTCTACACATGCTGGTGTGCCATGACACCATTATCTCCAATTGACACAGAACATAGTTATACATACCACAGTTTGGTGGTTAACTTGAATCACTTCATCTCCAGCATGGATTTTCTTGCACCGATCTGCAGGTGACTGAATTTAAAATAAAAGAGATGATAAAGAATACAGTTCTTACTGGTCATCATCTCTCTGCCAGCAGTATGATTGCTAAACTACGTCAGATTAGATTGATAGCTACATTCTATTGTGAAATAAAGAAAAAAAGAAACATTTAGTAAATTAATTAATTGCTCTTGGAGAAAAATAATCTTCACTGTTGTATCAAGACAATCAAGTTTAAGAAAGGTATGAATATTTATTTATTAAAGAGTGAAACAGCCTTAAAGATTTAATTTAATTTTAATCTGCAGAAAGACTGTTTTTACCTGCCTGACATGTCTTAAGCCTTTGAAGCCAATCTTTGGCTGAATGTTAACTCCATCAGGACTAAATAGCAACTTATTCAAAACTAAATTTCACAACTAAATATTTTGGTATGTTCCCGAGAATCCCAGTAAATCAGACTTCTTCACAGCGTATATGAGGACAGAGGATTAGGCACTAGCAAGGAACATCATAAAGTTATATTAGAACTTCATGTCTGGAATACGAGTAGATAGAAAGAAATGCAACAACAACCAAAATCAAACTAAGATCATCATACTTGCAGAAACAAAGTAGTTTTCTTTGTTTTTGATCAAGAAAAGCAGGGGGGAAAAGATCATTTTCTCCTCTTGTGCTCTCTGTATGTATAGATCACCTTTTTTTTTTTGAGGGATTTTCTCTTCCCCATTTTTAAAGGCAAGTAATTTCATTAAGCTTTTCATAGAGTGATAATTCTTTTGCTCTTCTTACTTAGTACTGAGGCTGCCAGTCTATGAAGTTGTTTAACCACCTTCAAGGTAAAAGCGACCCAAGGTACTCAGGAGTAGTTTTCCAAAGAGCTGCTATGAATTTTACAGAAAGGAAGTGAAATTGATTTCACTTCAGCATTTTCTAGTTCTGGTGAGACAATGTGAATCTAGGTGTATGCTACTAGCCTGGAATGGGGTTTGTTTGCAATAATTTACCTACTACTTCTCCTCCCAAATACAAACCATGATCTTCTAGTGCAATTTCGCATCATTTATAGCTTAAGAACAGTGTTAAAACAGAAGATATTCAAGCAAAACATGAGAGTGAAAGGAAGGTCACTTATGACTCATGTCTTGCAGGCATTATTCAGAGCATCTTAACTCATTTGGGGCTAATAAAGATGTAATTTTACTTACATTAAAAAAAAAAAAAAAAAAAAAAAAAAAAAAAGCAGCCTTGACTATTTGATGCAGTTACACCTAAGACCTTCAAAGTGGCTATGCTAGTGAATCCTATCATTACATCATTTCCCTGTAGTAACTTCAGCACTTGCAGCTTAAACTTCGAGAAAGTAGCAACTTCGAGTGCAGCAGTTTGCCAAATCTGTAAAACATGATCTCAGACAGTTTGGACTGAAAAAAAAATCATTGTAATTATGTCTGGAAATTAATACACTGAAAGCTTAGATACAAACCATTTCTACAGGAATCCAAGCCTGTGGTCTTATGAGATCATGGTTCTTGTACTTTACTGTTTTTTCTCCCAAATAGACCTTACTGTTAAGAAATAGTTAACTTTTATCAATCATCATTTACAGAAAATAAGGGAATTGCTAGGTTATTTAAGATGTATATGCTGATCATTAAGCAAACATCTATTTATGAAGCCCCCTATAAGGAACAAAATGTATCACATAACAGATTCATCTACAGGAGCTGCATATGAGGATAAGGAATCTTACTTCGGATGAGGTTTAGTGGTCTCCTCTTGGCTAAATGTTGTCTTTGTCCCATTCCCCCTCAACACACCCACACTATCAAAAATACCTATTTTGATCCTCCTGCCTCCCTTAGAGGCTGAACTATGTTTGGTGTGCGCACACAGTAGAAACTTGGGTATCATTTCTTTTGAAAAATGTCTCCTTTCGGTGCTCTATAAGCACCCTACAAACTCAACCATTACACAGTAAGTGGGGACACTAAAGGAACTTAATTCAAAATGGCAGTCCTGCTGTAAACCAGAAGATCGACAAATGCAGCTCATGATCTGACTTAAAAAATACTCCATTTAATTAGAGAATTTAATTAAAGAGTTACTTGTTTTGATAAAAACATTTGCTTTGTGAATTAAAGGAATATCTCTATCACTAAACAAGAAGGCTATATTCTCCTGCTGGACCAATACAGCTTTTGCAATTGCTACTTTCAAATATAAGAGAGAAGAATCAAACCAGAAAGATCAGCTTGCTCTAACGCTATAGGATCATTAAGAAGAAACTCTAAGGGGACAATGACTTCTAAGCAGCTCTGTTCCCTCTCAGTTCTAGTTTCAGAGCTTGTCTGCGCTGATCTGCAGGGCCAAGGTGCTGGGAAAGATGACTCCTACTGCTGAACAACAAGATCCAGATCCCTCTGGGCTTTGTAGTTGGACTCTAAAAATGTTGAACTGCAAACAGATAATGCAGGATGGTGGATAAAAAACCCCACAGAGTTATATTACACAGTCAGTACTGATAAAGCGCTGCATTTATTAAAAAGACAAGGGCTTCTCTGTCATTTTTCAGGAAAGGCTCAGATAAAAAGTTGTGCTAACATCTCATTTCAAGTAGTAGACTCGGAAAGAAAAAGGCACAAGTTTTTGTTTAGAGGCAAAAGAATTTGGATTATTCCTGTTTTCTACAAGTCTGGTAGGACCACAAATGGCAAAAAAGGTCAGTATAAAGAGGTCAAATCACATATTTGCCCCCACTATATCCTTATTTTGACATGTTCCTTTGATGTTTTTCTTCCTGTCTATCAACATTGTACTTGAGTGGGTTTGTTTGTTTGTTTGTTTGTTTGTTTTTAGGAAGTGGCTAGAAACTTTGTCTTTGAAAGCAGGAGATATGTTACTTTCTCTAAGGTGTTTCTTATTTTCACAAACATTTTAACACACAATCGGTCTTTCTCCAGATAGCAGATTCCAGTCTCTCCACTTGCCTTGAGTACCTCCAGGGTCTTATAGGAAGTGAAAGTATCAATAATAAAGCAGAAAAGCCATCATGACTGAAGATCCCTGATGTAGCTTTTAACTATATTCATGAATCATGAAAAAGATTTTCGAGGCAATGCATTAAGATTTTATTTTTATTTTTGCCCCTGGGAAATTAAATCCAATAATAGTAACTCATGGAGAGAAAAGAGTTCCCTTTTTAATCTGAGGAAAAACTTTAAAAAAATTACCTTTCTCCATATGTTTTCTAGATTTGGCACAATTTTTCTTTTTAGTTTTGCTAATGCCATTGATGACATTGAAACTATAGGTTGGACTCCCCAGACTTTTGATTGCCAGACTGAAATTCTTCTTATGTTTTCCTAATGCTACCCATGGACATCCTGTCCACAGGAAAAGAATAAAGATTTCTAGATTGCAATTCCTATGAAGAGATGAAAACCAGAATCCTATTCTTGTCCCATGAGATATTAGCAAAAACTATTGCTGATCCAAGGCAGCAGCTTGGCAGGTGCCATGAGTGGTTTGTGTTTTCCAGAATATGACACAGTAGATAAAACAAGTATTTGTTACATCTTCATTTTAAGAAGTGTTGTCAGAAGGAATTGCTTCAGCCATCATGGAGCAATTCAGCATTGTCCAGTGGCTTGTTCAATGTTTATCAAAGAATATGAAATAAAAGCCTAGAAAATCCCCAAAATGATCCTCTTGCCCATTCCCTATCAGACACAGCCAGTTCTGTAAAGATGGTGTACAAGGAAAGGAGAGTGTATTTCAAAGTGACTTAAAAAGTAGTCTATTATGTCTTGCTTGTTGTTTTGCTACCTTCCATGAGAATTAGTGCACCAGTAATGTTTCCCTTTTTACAGGTATTATTCAGAAGTTCATGCAGAAACATATGGTTACTTGTCAATGTGAAGGGATGTCCTCATTTCCATGCAATTATTATAAAATAAAGATTGATAGATGCAAAATGTAAAAGCTGTTTTTCTAATACTACCATGAACTCCTGCATTTCAGTCTATATTAGTAAAGACATTCATCTTCCATTCACAGTGCAAGGTAACTGCAAGATAGCTACCTCTTATCTTGATCAGCTGAAGTGTTTTAAGGGGCTTAAAAGGACAAATCAAAACCAGTTCTGTATCACAGCTACAAACAACTCCTTCAATTCTGAGATAAGCAAGCAAAAGCGCTTCTGCTGTCCAACATGCTATTGCTCCTCAACAGCCAACTAGCACACTTTTGCAAGCAAAATGTAGTCTATAGAAAGGGAAAGCATAAACCACAGGTAAGATCAAAAAGGTTTCCAGGCCTGAACATACAGTATTAACAATACTTACATTTTCTGTTGTTCCAGTAATTACATGGAGACCATCATATGTTGATTTAATGTACATACCCTAAGAAAAAGACATCATGGGAAAGAATTTTTAAAGGGTTTCACAAACCATCACCATCCAAACATAACTTGTACATCTCTAAAAACAACAGCTTCATATGTTCATAGATATGTATTGATGTGTGGATCTTTAAATTAACATATGCAATAAGCAATATGTCTCTGGTTTTTGATATACTTAGAGAACAGCACAAATGTTGCTACCCCTGTGCAGCAATAGCAATCTAAAACTTTTACCACAGTCATCTCCATAAATACTTTATGTGCTCCATAAGTGACACATACAACAACAGTAGCATCTGCTTACAAAAACAAAGTTAATAATTGCCTTATGATGATCAATACTTCCATTTCTTTTTGGAAGATGCTTTTAAAAGAGTTGTACCTTCTAGTAGGCAATGCTGCAAAAATAACTTTCAAACTGGTAACTGATGCTCTGATGTTCAAACTGGTAACTGCTCTGAAGTATACCTGAAAAAAACGACTCTAAGGCTTTCTGATTACCTCACTCATCTCAATGAGCTCTAAATCTCAGTTATGACAATTTTAATGTCATCTTTTTAGCTAAAACATTTAAAAAAAAAGAAAAGGGAAAAGAAGGGCTATTCACATATTAGCAGCAACCATGCTGTGCACAGCAGCTTATGAAAAGACATAAGTTCCTGAATGGGTGGTTTGGGTGGGCATCTGCAACCTGCTTTTTCTCTGAGTCAGCATGCAAACGGCATTTTAATGGCACCACTAAGACGGTGGGAAAAAGGAAAAAAAGAAAGATAACTGGCTACTCGCATTTACAACAACTTCTGAAGAACCCCGCTTGCTCTGATCAATTCATAGAAAGCAGGTAGACACTGAGCACTGCACTAAATATCATCCCCAGGATGTGCTTGCTCTCCTTTTAATCTAAGTACCGCAGTGAAGCCCGTTCTCAGCTGAGGAACATGGTGTGCTCAGCAGTGATCATAAAGAGTAAGGAGGCAGAGAAAACTTTTATCAGTTGGGCAGACCTCATCTGGGACCAGTACTTGCAGATGTTCTTGTAGTGGGATAAAGAAGTCTGTCCCTGCTTCCTCCCCAGTTAACAATCTGGAGGATATTCTCAGGAAAAAAATGATATTGTCTCTGAGAGGGAACTCAAAACTGAATTTGCCTTTTACTCTACACAGTCTGTAGCAGAAATTCATGGCATCGTTTCCAACTGTCATGTTGGGCTGCTACATCTCGATGAGAAAAAAAGCAAGAACCTGCTCATTTCTATACAGACAGGACCACCCAGCTCTATGAATCCTAAATACTTTTTTCTTTGATTAGCTCCATGCTTTCCTACTTAACTCAGTTGTAAGAATATCCTCACAACACCCCTGTGAGGTAGGGAAATACTAATATAGACACATTTTACAGGCATGGAAATGAGTCACACAAGAGACTGAGATGCATCAATACATTTGGCACCTACTACCTATCCCCAAAACAATGAAAATCAGGACCTAAATCCTGGATAGGTCTGGATATGGATCTAAATGACCTGACCTGACTGGACATGGTCAGGAGCTGAATTCAGGTCAGCTAAGTTTGAGCAGACCCAGCTCTAAGGACTGGACCATTTGTCCTTGCTTGCTGAAGGCACACACATTAGTGTAAGCCACAGACTCACTGGTGGCAGGTCTGCACAGGACAACTTCTAAAGAAAATTTTATTTTTACTTTAGTGAGTTATTTGTTTCAACATAAGCATTTAGATAATAAAGGTAGGATTTCATTTTTTTCACTAACCCAAAGAATGGTTTGGTTTCTTTTTCCCTTTATCAATGTTATATTTTCTGTACCAACAATTAAGTGGCTCAATAGTAACCTAAAATTGACAGTGATGTTTCACTGAAATATTAAAAAACTTTACTTCAGCAAACGCAGGTTTAAATGTTAAAAAAAAACAATTGAATTTCCTGTTTGGATCTGTAAAGTGAAGCTAGTACAAGACAGGAACACATGCAAATCATACTACCACAAAATAAGGAAATAGTGAATAATGTCAGACTGAAAGCAGAGGCTATAGTCTCACAATTGCTGCTTATGCTTAGTTTAGTGCAAAGCACAAATCTGAAGGATACTAAGTATATTACATTCTATGGTGATGGACTGCAATTCCTGTCCAATCTAGTCTTTTCTAGAAATTAAAGACTTTCAAGAACCAAAAGAAGAAAGAGGATTTTTTAAGAATTCTTACTAAAGGCTAAGAACAACAATTGAATAGAGACCTTTGGGAAGAAGGAGGAAGAAGGAAGCTACAAAAAACACTTAAATTTATTCCCCTTCTAAAAAAATTAAGACCGTTACACTATTGCTATATCTTGTCAATTTTGCAAGAGACAACATCATTATGTTTACACAGCAGTTTTTTAAAGGAGGAAATGCAGTATTTTACCATTTCCAAAAGCAAATGTAATTGAAATGGGATCCACACTTTTGCTCACCTTCCTCTACTGCTTATTTTAGGTGAACAACAATATATGGGAAAAAGCACAGAGAACAAAATGTTTCTAGGGTTTACTGGAATCTGCTGTAGAAGTAAGACTATCAATCACAGACATTTCCAAATATTCCTTTCTTTGTCTCCTTGTGACTACACAATATTAAGAGTACTCCATGATCAAGAGTACATGGTGTTCAGTGTGTGTTGTTCATTTCTATCAAAACAAATCAGCAGAAAAAAATCATAGATATCAAAAGATAACTCCAAAGTCCCCATGAATTCACAATAATTCTTGTGAATGCCAAATAAAACTAAACGTTAATTTAGTTCACATGCCTAAAATATAGCGGGCAACCGCTATAGGAATCAAGAACAGAAGCACACTTCCATCAAAAATCAGATAACTCATTGCATAGATTGTTCTGATAAGCTGAGGGTAAGAGTCTAATTTCAAACACATCAGTACATTCTATATTGGTGTGAACTATTGCTCACTTAGGGGCTGGAACAAAGACCTTGGATTTTTGTTTTTCTTAAGACTGTCAACAGAATTTGAAATGCTTGCAGCACATTTTACACAATTCCAGAAAGTGCATAAGAAGATACTAATTCAATTTCATCATATACCTAATTAAATTTTTACTTTCACTGTGCTGGCATCTTGATGCAGTCTCCCAAGATTACACATGTCTCTTTAGCCCAGAAATGTGTACCAAATATGTAAAACATAGACCAAAGGTATTCTTGCTTCCTTTTCCAATTCAACTCTAGAGCTCAGTAAGGTCTAAGAAGACTAAAATCCAAACAGTTTTCAGAAATCTGTTCAAAGTTTTTTTTTTTTTTCCCCAACTCTTCCAATATTTCAGGCCAAATAATTTGCAAGAATATTAGAAATAATAGTACACTAGATTTCAGTAAAATACTTCTTCCTAGCTAGACCTCGAGCTACACTATCTGCTACTTTCATTTTATATTACATGTGACAGGCTGATTTTATGTTTTCTTTAACACGCAAAGAGGAACTAAGAAAGTTCTCTACTATTTTGGCATATTCAGCCTCACAAGAATCTAGATGATTGGTAGAATTTGAAATAATGCCATAGCACATGAACAGTCCAGAATTAAAATTAAATTTTGAACAGGAAAAAAAGAAATTCAATATTAACCTCTATCAAAGTTCTCCTCTGATAGTCTATACTACATTTAAAAAAAAAAAAAAGAAAAAAAAAACAGGAAACTGCTCAAGGAAATCTTACAAAGATAAACCTGAATATAACTTGAGTATCTGCTTTTTATCTAACAAAATGCATAGAGTAGCCCACCTATTTGCTAACTACTTTGTTTTGAGACAAGTTTTGAATCAAGTATACGAGTTTTTCCATACCTCATCATAATCATCTTTTCTCCTTGTGAGTTTCTTTTAGTCTGTTTTTCTGGTAAACATTACTTAGTTTAACATCCATAAGATGTTGTAATCCATGTAACATATTTAGGTGCTTGTGCAGTAACCTATTAGTTGGACAGTTGACATGTATTGTGGCCACAGAAAAAGGTTAACTGTAGCAATGGAAGTATTTAAACCCATTTAAACATCCTGGCAGTGTCTGTTCTATCTGTTCTTCTTCTTCTATCTGTTTTGTAGTATAAAAAAAAATCAACCATTTCCCCAGATCTGTCATATATTTAACATACAAGTTTAAAGAAATTACAATGTTTTCCAAGCCTTTTATGTTCTCCTCCTCTCCTTTCTCTCTCCCTGATTTACTTTAACTTCTTAACTTTAACTTCTTAGATACTGTTTGAGGCAATGTATCCCATCTTCCAGGCTAGCAGCCATCCTTGCCCTCCACTTTTTGCTCACAGTCTTTCCATTTTTATAACATTAGCATTTCATTCAGTGTACATTATAGCCAGCAGAGAGCCTCCACAGGGGTCCAAGCTTGAGAAGAAAGTTGGCTGTAATCCATCTTTCCACCTCCGTTGTTGCACGCATCCCAGAAGACAGTCCAGAAATTACAGAGCTTCACGTTTATGTAAGTGCTCCTGATGTGCAGCAACTCATCATAACATCAAGTTCCACCATCATTTACTCCACTGACACTCTTAATACTCAACAACATATTGCACTGGTAGGTGTTCACTCTATCTTAATTGAAAGATGTTAAAAAGAGCAAAAACAAAAGCGTTCATACAAAGCACCAAGACCAAGCTGACAAAACGACTTGATATTGCGATTGCAACTGTAAGAACCTGAGAAGCACAATGCACACCTGCCAGCACGGATGTATCAACCTTGGTTCCTGCTCCAGAGAGCTTACAGTCTAGGGGACACAAGGTAGCCCAGAGGCAACACAACTGAGGCATACAGGTAAGAAGGAAGGAGGGAAAAAAGGTCATAGCATCAAAATAGCACTGCATCCTTCTAAGGCATGTAAACAAGGTTTGCACAATTAGTCCTTTCCATTTAAAAAAAATGCAATTATTTTTTGTGATAATGACATGGAATTTCTCAGTCAGCAGCATGACCCTGTCCACTTGGTTCACAAAGAGCTCCCAGTTTCAACTGACAAGACAGACAGAAGGGTAAAAACAGAGGCACAGAGAAGGGGAAAGATTCTCTACACGATCAGCTACATGCTGAAATACACCCACGTAAAGACATCATTCTTTATAAAAAAAAATCTGCTCTTAACACTTTTCAGTCACTGGAGGTTAACACCACCCTACAGAAAGACGCAAATGAGGAAAAAAAAATAACAGTAACAAGACAGAAAGGAGAAAAAAAAAAAAGCTAAGACAAAACCGGACAGAAATCCAAAAAAGTGGTTGAGAGAAAAGAGAATTCCTTCAATACACCAGGAGACAGGATTTAGAAAAACTGACTACTAAGAGCAGGCAAAAAGATGTGAAAATTAATAGGAGAGGAAGAGAGAGAGAGAGAGAGAGAGTCCATGGAAGGGTGAAATCCTGGAGGCAAATTCTGAAATGGATTCAGAGACTATAAAAGAAAACCAGTGGAGAAGGGAAGAAACAAATAGTAGAACAAAACAAACCATGGGCCAATATTTACTCATCCCAAAGATTTTTATCTTGTCTTTTAATTATGCTTTTTCAAAGGAGACATATCAGTGAATAATCAACCTAAAAAACATGGTATATCAAATTCGCAAAAAAGAAAAAAAAAAAAAAAAAAGCTCCCAAAACCCCCAATCCCCCAAATATTCTCCAAAACTACACCATCCAAACAACAACAACAACAAAATATCAGCTGCACAGAAGAGTGCAGCAGTAGTCCTTGCTCAAACAAATGCAATGAGAATGAACTTGGACAGAAGTTGCAAAAGCTATTTCACTACAGAAAAAGTGGTTAACTGAATTCTAATTGCCCTTTACTCTCTCCAAGGGAGGTGGGAAGAGATAATACTGGTGATATAAAGAAGAATAGCTGTAAGTATTATCAGTGCGTTTTTCTCCATGCCATAGGTGTTGGATACTTCAGTAATTGAAAAATCAATGGTCAACTCATGAACAACACTGAGCTTTCACAATCACCTGATTAAGCATGCAGAGTTTTTGCAATAAAATTAAATAAGCTATTTCTTAGCAGTGCTGTAGAGTCTTTGAATAACTTATAAAATAGCTTTATATCCCAGAGACACTATGAAGCAAATTCTAGAATTTGACAGCTTTTGTGCATAAACCCACACAAACTTCTTGGTTGAGTTGATCTCAGTAATTTAAATTCCTTTAGACTTCAAGATCCTAGAACTATCTGAGCTACTTTACAGAAGCTGGTATAAACAGCAAGAACTTCTCTTTCTTTTTTTTTCCCAATTTATTATATTTTTCACATATACTGGCCAGCCTTACAAACTACTTCCCCATTGGCCCAATTGCATGAGAAATCAAAATATTTCAGATATTTTGCATGAGAAATCAAAATATTTCTTTTTTTAAAAAAAAAGAAAGAAAACAAAACAAAACCTAAAGTCACCTATTCCTTTATATATATACATCTTAATAAGCAAATCACTCTCTCATCCTGGATGACGGTTTTGATTAACTGCGTACTTCTTACCAGCCCTTCACTTGGCTTGATGTTTGTAAGCTGGATCACTTCAAGGTGGGCAGACTGGGAAACCAGAGGATCGGAAGAGAGTGAGATAATATGATCACAGACACCAGAGAGAGTTTTACACTAGGAAGGAAAGAAAAAAAAAAGAAAAAAGGAACTGTTACAATGAATATGCCATTTCTAACCGTTTGGATTTCACCCTACTACTTATAACATGCATAAATTTCGTGTTGGTTGCATGCACACAGCAGAGAGGATTAAGAAGGAGTGGAAAAGGCCTCAGTCAGCAAGCAGCACGCTGTGCAAAATCCCTTTTTTATGATGATTCCAATTGACAAAGCAACAAAACCGCAAAGAATAAGAAAGAACAGCTTTAGCATCTCAGCAGAGACAGTAAGTGACCGTATGAGCTCCTCCCATCTGCTCTCCCCATTGCGGGTGCTGCACCCGAGCTGTGTTTAGACACCTGGGATACCCTGTCACCATCCAGGTCCGTGTCACCATCCCAGGCCTTTTGCAAAGACACTGATTGCCCCTTGCCCTGCACACTGTGGATGTGTAACTTGCACAAAAATCGGACTGTTTACAATGATGCGTACATCCCATTAACTCTTAAGTTGATGCTGTATTAATAAAACACGTTAATTGACTTTGGAATGAGTTTCTGATGCTCTACGGATGCCAAGTATGATTTACTACTGCAGACACGAAGATCATGATAAATAACCACTTCATCATAGGATAATTTTTAAAGCTGTTATCCTTGGCAGTCTCTTTGCAGCAAAATAGAAATAAAGTTTCTAAAAGGGCTGGAACTGTCAAATGGGTACTTTGTTATCTTCTCATCTCTCACTTCCTTGATTCCCACTTGGCAGAGGGAGGAAAGCCATGACAATTTATTTTCTATCATTCTCTCATGTTTCTGTAAGAAAGTGATTTTTGATAGCTTCAATATTTTCCATGGAATTCCCTTTCAGCAGCTAAAATGGGTTTCTCAGCTCAGATTTCCAAAAGTATGTTCAGTGTGTGCATTTAGGGAATAGAACAACCCTTGGTCCCACGGCTGTGGACAACTGGGAAACCAGCTAAGAGACACTTTAATTGCTCTCAGAGTCAATGTGTTATAGGTATCCAAGCACCTCCAACAACCAAAACACAACTGCACACAACGGCCACAACAATCCATTTTCCAAGCTATTGTATAATAGTTTTTTAAAGTTATCTACAACAATGTTATGAAAATAGAGTACAAATTCGGATATAACCTCCTTGCCAAATCACTGTTATAATTCCTAACTCCAAACTAGAAATATCTTATCTCAAAGCAAAGTAAAAACCTTGAGTGATAAAAAGCATGGAAAAAAAAATCCAATGAAAGTGAAAACTTAATCCTGTTACAGACCATTACAGTTGGAATTTGTCCTCTTGAAATTATTTATAAACAACTGGAAACTTGGCTTAGTATTTATATGGCTTATTTTATTGAACAATAATGTTTCAACATGAATAAACTTTATTCAACATGAATAAACATGAATAAAGGCTGCTCTCCTGCCTCTCTGCAAGTGAGGGCAGGCTACAGAACGAGCCTACTGATATCTGAGTCCCAGGAGGAGGAAAACAGGCTGTAATATTAAAACAAGTTTGTATGAGTTTCTCTGAAAAGGGCTCAAAGAATGATGCATCTAAAAAATCACAAAACTATTATGCCAAAAAAAAATTGTGTGTGCTCCTATGCATTTCTGAAAGATTATTCTCTTTCAAGTCTTGCATCTCTCTCTCTGTTCCAAATCCTCATACTCCTCTCAAACACAATCATATCCTGCATATTCTAATACAACAAAGGAGCCTAGCAAGATCCATAGGGAAGATGCTACAAGTAGAGGCCCTATGCTCCTCTACAGCTTTCAGAAAAGTCTATTTACCTTTCCAATATTTAAGCACTCATTCAACATATAGGGATGCATATATTACTCTCTTCCCCCAAAACAAAGAAACTTAGCGGCAAACTCCGCTGAATTATTACTAAAACTTTTCTGCTTCACAGGCATTCAAATCTAACCACAGTAGAGATAAAAACTGTAGATTGTGAGCATTCAAAGCTCTATTAAATGTTGTCAGGTTTATTACCATACATTAGCACCAGAGGTGAGTGGAAAAAGTGATAGAAAACAAAAAGTACAAAAAAGTGGAAGTTCTTGAACTGTTTTCTCTTAATTTTATATCTTTAAATCTTCAAATATTTTTTCTCTGATCACAGTATTGATGGACATGGTCCAATAAGACAAAATGCCATTTAACAACATCCATAAATAGTTTTTCTCAAGAAACCACTGCTCTAGATAACAAGACCTAATTGCAACATTGTCCATTAGTAATTATAGAATAGTTTTACTCAGCACACCAATTTCATCAAAAACATGTTTTGCTTTGTTTGCGAGAACCTTCTCTTGCTGTTTTGAAATGCTGTCTACTACAGAAAGATTTTGAATTTGAGGCACAATACTATTGCATAATGAACTGGCACATTCATGTTGCCAAGACTTCTTGCATTTCACATATATTTGTATAACACCAAATGAATGACTAGCTAATTTGTTTTTAATTGAATGGCATACACCAATGCATTCATCTAATTTCAGAAAACAGAAATAGTATTCTTGTTATAATATAATTACACCTTGGGACCTTGGGAAGAAAAAGCAATCTTTTAAAAGACAGACCTGGGTTCTGCCCAACCACCCAACACTTCCTATTGCTGTAAGCAAATATTTAACAACTCTCTTTTCTTTTGAAAACAAAAAAGCCTGTTTGTATTGGAACAGATACAAAACTGTACAAGTTCCCCTTTGCTATCATACATTTAAATCATTTCAGTGAAATATGCTCATTCTTGGGTCATTCTGAAAGTCCACTTTCCATAACCTAAGACACTTTATGTCAGCTGATTTAAAATAACAATTCTTTTTTTTTTTCTCTCTTTTTTAATGTGATTGTGATAGGATACAGGGTGATCTTGTGCTACACTATCAATGGAAAGACCCAATAGCTTTTGTCACACTCCCCGCCCCAGGTCATTTGCCTCAGGCCAGCAAGGCCTGGCCAGTCTCAGGGCTGTGCTTATCCCTGGGATCTCCTCCACATGCTGGGGATGTGGTGCCTCCAGCCCTGCACTGCATTAGCAATGGGCTCTCCGCACTTCTCTAAGAATTAAGACATAACCTAGTATCCATGCGAATGTTTACTGCCTCTGAATGAACATCAAGACCTTGCTGCGTGCCCACAAGTGCGAGAGCAAGGGGTGCATTCCTGCACCATAGATATCCTCTCCCCATGGCAAAGGGCAAGGTGCAAGGGCTGTTAGGAAATGTGTGCCCACAGGCTGGCATCGGCAACACAATGGATTCTTCCTTGTCTTTGTTCCCTAAAATATCTCAACTGTTTTGCCTTATATTTTTTTTCTTAATTGATTATTTTTCAGGAAGGAAGGAGTGAAAGTAGCAAAAAAAAAAAAAAAAAGGCTAACAGTGACTGGAAAAAAAAAAATAGTGGTTCTCAATGTAGTTATAGTCCGGCTCCTGCCCAAATTACTGCTATTCACTTTATTGGTCCAGGTACCTCAACATGCCCATAGAGATGGAAGATCATTTTTGACTTGGTGGATCAGGAACTTCCGTGAGCAAAGCTGCTGACACACAGCATGGGAGTTATGTTCATTTAGCAGAGACAACATGTTAGTGTGGCCAAGTAAATTGTCTTTGACTTCTTTACCTTCCTCTCCCTACACCCACCCGAGGGAGGCTCACCAGGTTCATCCTGTACTCAGGGTTTGGGAGCTCATCCATAAGAACTCCATGTCTACAGCTCCGAAGGCATGTCCAGGGCTACTTTACTTCTAATTTGACTAAGTTTTCCTCGAGCTCCCCATATTTCATTGGAACTTTCAGCTTGGCAGATGCAAAAGGAGCAAATTACATAAGTAGGAGAAATGCCAAGAGATTTTTGAATTATTTATTGTTTTATTTAATGGACTAAAGAAGTATTTTGCATAAAGGCTAATCAATTCATTTGAATGGAATACAAGCACACCAGCAGTGCACTTTTGCTATTCATTTTATGCCAAACAAATTATGAATGCATTACTTTTCAGCATAACCTATTCAGCACAAGCAGTATCAAAGGCATGTATTAGTTTCACTAAAACCTGATGAGAGCACAATATTCCTTTTTCTTCAAATGGTAGTTACCTTTGGTACTTTGAGAAGCTGCAGTTCTGATTACAAAAACATCATTAATGGAATGAAGATCCTTTATCATACCTGCATAATTGTCAATTGCCTATAGCAATTCAATTTTAAGAGCACCTGGTTACTCTTTCAATACAAAATAGGTTTCTAAATGTAGAAAATTGATTCAGAGGATATAGCTGCTCTTCAGTCCTGAGCTGGGCATCCCATCTGTATTATCCAAAAATAAAAGAAAAGCATGATATGCAAACTGATCTAAATTTGGTCCCTTTCCTACTTTCTGACTCCAGGAAAGAGGACGCACTTCTCAACAGACTGTGCAAAAATAAACTACAACAGAATCAGGTTAGAGATCTGGTCAAGGGGAAATTTTGCATTAGAACATTAAGGAGGATGTAGAAAATATCGTGTTTAAAATCTGCAGGGGAAAGTAGCCAAAGCAGAGTATCTTAGCATGGCTGTGATTCATTATCCTTGCAAAATTAAATGTATGGAGGATAGCTGAGGAACATGCTTAATGAGTAAGAGATAGTTCTAGAAGATGGCTTTTACAATCAGGTGTCAGCAATGCGGTTGTAATGGTTATGCCAGACACCATACATCTTTAAGTAATTTAAAACAATGTATTCCAGGAACGGGGCAGAGGTAGCTGCTCTTTAATATTTTAATGGAAGCCAACTCAACAATAATTTTTTTAAAGGCAGTATCCCCAAATATTCATTTGCCATATTTATACATCAGACAGGCTTGAAAATGAGGCAGTCACTAGACATGGTAAGACACACAGGGGAACCAACATTCAATTGCTCCTCCAAAAATCAGCAGGCATTACACATGCCAAGCCTTTCTCAGATTGCACTCAGGCTTCAGCATGAA